CCCCAAAACCCCAAAACCCCAAAACCCCATGAATCGAAGATTCAACTCTAATGATAATCAAATTGTATATTATTTAAATCAAAATGTCAAGCGATAGTGAAAACTCTTCAAATGAGGACTATTCTGATCATTTGCACTTGTTCAAATCTTCTTTAGACGTGGGATCGCATTTCATTGATATAGAGCCAGATAATGAGTTGGTATTTGTTTAATAATAAGGCAGCCTGCATGCATAATTGATGATAAAAAACGTAACCTCTAAGGCAAATATTGCTTTTTTCGTAAGTTAAATTTCTGTTATCTTAATTTACAATTTATAGATATTTACTTCCTCAACTATTCCTATTGAAATCATTCCTAAATATGGATTTTTGAGCCCAACTTATTAATAACCTGTGCAATTAACATGGAAAGAGAACACTGTAAGCATTTCAATTTTAATTTGATGTTCTTAGAATCCAGACTTACTATAGCATGCAATGTTTTTCATCAAGGCTCTTCCAATTAGCAATGAAATGAATGTAACTAAATGCTATTAATAGTAAATCTAGGTTTAAGAAATGAATCAGAATATTGATGAGGTTTTTAATAACTACAACGTGAATATTTTATTTACAGTTGCAGCTTTACCAGCTAGAGTAACCAATTTAGTTCCTTTTATCAAAATGAATGAGGGTTAAACAAAAGGAATCAATTATTAAACTTAAAGTTCATCATTAACTCCTACGAATAGAGTAGAACAGAAAACAAATAATCCAAGCTCTAGTAAATAATTTACTGAAGATAAAAAAAATCAAAATGTGGAGATCAAGTATGTAGATAAGAATAAATAGTCTTTTGGCAGGGTTCATCCAGAGTAATAGTTTTAGGAACTTGATAGTGAGAATTATAGAAATAAAATCAACAGTAGCATTAATGGTGGAAATTATGAAAAAGAAGAGGAGAAGGAATAAGATAGTTAAAGGCTCTTATTGTGATTATTTAATTGAATTATATAATTATTTTATTTGTAAATCATAAATATGCTTTTAAATCAATCACCATTTGTGAAGACTTTTTCAAGCACTTTTAATTTAGGAGGCAATAAAATGGGCTCTCAATCAATACCATCATAGGAGTACGCTAATGAGAAAATAGGTCATTACATACCAAAAACTAAAAGAGCTGAGATATCCAAAGAAATAAGAGGAGCTCATTTCAATCTTGGATATGACAGTAAGTTATATATCTTTATTTTAATTTATTTCTCTAATCATTGTATCTTAAAACATTTTTATTTAGATGAGATAGGCTAGTCAGTATTCAAGGAAGATTACAAAGCTAGTGTTTTAGAAAATAATAAGAAAGAAGGAGAAAGTGGATCAAAGTTTCTCGCATAAAATAGGAAGACTAATATTGCACTGAGTGCTTCAAAAACTTTCTATAACCAGACAGTGAACAATCAGTTTTTCAATCTTAGACAATCGTTGTAAAAACCTGATCTTACTCAAGGTAAAGGCCTTGGGGCAGATGGAAAATTCATAAATCCAGAAGTATTAAAAAGCGATTTGTAAAAGGAGCATTTTAAACTTGGAAGTGATTAGTCAACTCTTAAGACAACAAATATGGATTTAGATGGACTTCAGAATACAAACAAAGAGTCAATAGCATATGAAAACGCTTAAGAGAAAAAGAGGAATTAGAAGATAAAATCTGAAATGAGATAAACTCATTTTAACTATGGAAAAGATCAAACAGTCTACTCAACAAGCAATTTCTCAAATTTTAAGGAACATGATCTTGCCTCTGTTAATGAGTAATTATCATTTATTCTTAAACCCTGTCTTTAGTGTGAAACAATTTGGCAATTAATTTAGTAAGGAAATGAGAAACGTTAATAATATTTTCAAAGGGTTGAGTGAGTCATAGAGTGGCTAAAGATTTAAGAGTTAATCCGCGATAGGAAAGATAAATGAATCTCCTTTGAAAGTTATTTAAGAAAATTCTACTTTTGAATAGTAATCTCCAATGAAGTAAATTAGTCAACAACTCAAGAAAAGCAGTATTGAGATGGGAAAGAAAAACATGCCAGATTATACTTCAATGAATAAGTTACAACAACAGACAATATTGTATGGTGGAAACGGCTCTCCATAGCCATTTAGATCAAGCAAATATAGTCCTACTTCAAATGGTAGAATTGAATCTAAAACTTCACAATAAACATTCTCAAAACTTTAAAAAGATGAAGATCATGATTGTGGCAGAGCTTCAATCATGAAAGTTCATTCTATGGAAAATATAGAGGAAATAAAGAGACTTAAAAATAATCTAGCTTCAAGTCATTTTGTAATTGGAGATTAGAGAATTACTCTTAAGGAGGCAAGAACCATCTCAAAGGTATCTTATCCTGGTGGTCAGGAAATGACCTCAGCTCTTGAGTAATCTCCAGTTGATAAAAGAAACAATGAAAAACTTAGCAATTACCTTAAAAAAGAAAGCTTTAAAGTAGGATAGTACAATAACCATATAATAAATTAGAAAAATCTCTAAAACTTCTATACTTCGGTTTATAAAAATACAAATGACCTTGAAAAGTTGAAGCAAGGGAAACCTGCAGTCAAAGCAGAGTGTGATGCTAATCTAGCTAGTATTAACTTAGGTTCCTACAATGAACCCGAATTAATTAAAAAGCTAAGCGAGAAATAGGCTAGATTCAGTGGATCATAGGCATAGTAATTAACCAAAGAAGAGTTGCTCAAAGCGATGAATGATAGAGAAAAACTTAGTAATAAAATAAGAAGTCATAATTTTGAGCTGCACTACATACCTAAGAATAGCATTGATGAAAAACTTCACTTTGACTCAGTTTAGAATTAAATGCATAAGAAAATACATGATTCTTATAATAGAGATGATTTCAATCAGTAAAAAGATAACTCTTAACAACTCAAAGCATATTTATAAAAGAGCCATTTAAGCATTGGCAACCATAATAACAATCAAAATCAACTGCAAAATGATATGAAACTTTCAAATACTTAGCAATCATAATTTGATGGGCTGAGCAATTAGAGGCAAAGAAATTTTAATCAGAAGCCAGTTAAAAGCATGAGAACAAATAGCGAGGTTGTTTTGGGGATAGGAAAAAATGATTATGGAACAAGCAACAAAAACTTTTTTGGTTGGATCTAACCAAAGGTTTAATTATGACAAATCAACTTTGATGATTATCCTTTAAATTGAGCAGCAGAATCATATCTCTTAATATTAAAATTAACTTTTGTTAATAAATTAACATAAATATACAACACAGTATTATGTTTCAAAAGTACTTATCATAGAAAAGTGCTATTTCATCAAGTTTGAGCTGAAACATCCCTAAGTATAACTAATTCCCAGATACTTATTCACTATCAACCTCGTCAAAACATTCATTCTCATCATCTGCACTCTCGAAAGGTTCAAAGAAAGGATTAAGCATCATATCAGTATGAGCCCTAATAATTGTCTTAAACATCTATTTTGATACAATCAACAAGCGATTATAAATACATTTTTAATGTGCTCATCATTAGGTTTCTAACCTAGCTATGTAGTTTTAGTTTCGTTCTTGATTATAATGTATTTGTAATTAGTGTTTGAAATATATCCGTAAAGATCCATCTAGTATTAACTTACGCAAGTTTCCATTATAAGTCCTAAATAGGTACTTTCCCCATGACCAGAGGACTGCAAAATAGGTGCAGGAGATGGGCCAGCCTAAACTTTGCTTGTTCCTTTTAATCTTTACTTTTCATCGAATAAATCAAGGGTTTAATATGCTAGCATTTTCAGCTGCATATCTAGGCTTTCAACTTCCTCTTTGGTAAGTTCAGAATATTAAGACTGCATTGCTTCTACCATATAATTTCTCAGAAGTATTGGGGAATTCTAGATGTATTAATGAAAGCACGAATTTACTTTTTTATTTATGATTCCAATGAATGCAATTTTAGGCTCTCTTCCTTCCATGTTTATAAATTTAATTACTTAATTTCAATTTAATTTCAATCCTAATGAATCGAGGGGTTTTGGGGTTTTGGGGTTTTGGGG